AAAGGAAAATAGGGCATGAGAATGAAGAGCTTTTGATTATAATGGTTTTGTTTTAAAGCTAGAAAATTAAGGTCCATTAACTATTTATGATGAATCACATAGATTTCTGCCTTGTGCATTTTGGTGCCCTTTGTAATTTCTTAAAAAAGGGAACGGCCTCTGCTTTTGCCTGCAAGTTGCAAGGAACGGAGCATGAGTGAAACTCAAATTGCAAATAAACCTCATTATAATAATACAGAGATAATGTCATGTTAGAAAATAGGTCTTCGCCTGTCAGCTCAGGGCGAGCTGCGTCTTGTGAAGGGTAGAAGGAATGTTGGTGGAGCTGTTTTTGCTGTTGTTGTACTTATTTTTTTTTTAAGGAGCAAAGGTGGTAAAAAGAAAAATATGTCTGGGTTTATGTAGGAATTTTTTTTTCCAGGTTAGTCTCCTGTTTCTGGTTTACATTCCTTTGTTCACCCATTTTTGCCATAACTGAGTTCCTTTGATGACACTTTAGTAGTGGAAAGGATACCAGGTGCTGGCACTGTGGTGTAATGGGTGTCAGAAAGGCCGTATTAAGGGACTTTCTTGACTTCCCTCTGGTGGAGAGACCCAGCCAGTGGTCCCCCAGGGGATACTGCAATCCCAGAGAGGCATCTAGTTGAATGCATCGATGCCAGCTTGTGGCAACCCCGTGTGCATTAAAGGAGAGCTGTGCACCATAGGTTTTCCAGGTCACTGAGGTTTTGGACACAGATTTCCAGGCCCTTCTTCTCTGCTGTCTGTGGATGGATGCAAACCTTCAGTATCGAGGTTAGCTGCTGAGTTTGTAAAGCAGTTGCACTGTTCAGGGACTGTCCCAGAGAGGTGGAGGCATTGAATACTTGTGCTTCCTTCTTTTTCTCATTCCCTAACCTCAGCCTCTTTGTGAATTCACCTCCCCCTCAGGATGAGCATCCATTCCCAGTCTCAGGTTCTTAAAAAATTCATACCCACCTGCAGTCTCTGTTCCCACACTCCCCCAGTGGCTTCTTACTCTGCAACCTCCTGCTTCTGCTTCTCCATCTTCTTCTCCTCAATTGAGTTTCCCCAGAGCCTGAGGCCTTGAGGACGGGGGGTGGGGGTGGGGGCGTGGAAATTAAGCCTGATGTATGTCTAACTTTGGTCTGAAACTGGACTGTCATTTCTTAAGACATCCCTGTTAAGATGGGTGGTTTACAAAACTGTGTTGGGACTTATCATGGGTTTATATTGGTTCAATAAAGCAATTAGATTGGAGAGGACATCTTCAATGTTTTGTCTTCTAATATAGAAATGTAATATGTGTCCTGATTAATGAAATCTTCATTTAGTGTTTTCACTGAACTGTGTATTTCCTTCCATGAAGGTTTTACGTAATTTTTGTTATGACTGCCTTGAGATTACTGTTATTTTCCACTTGTCATTTTATACATATTTATAAAGTTACATTTTCTATAGGTTTGTAGTTAGTATATGAAGATATTGTCTATTCAAAGAAAGAAATAAATATAGCTTAGAATTTGGTTTATTTTCCCTTCTACTGTTCATTTGAAATGACAGCTCTATCTGTCATGACCTATTAAAATAAAACTATAAATATCTTTCAATCTAGCAACCCCACCCCTGGGACTTTATCTGACAGGAGTGAAAGCACTGACATGTGAGGATATATGTACATGAGTGTTCACTGTAGCATTGCTTGTGAGGGCAAAGAGCTGGAAATAGAGTGAATATCCTTGGGTAGGGAATTTAGGTCATATAGTGCAATATTATGTGGCCATTAAATGGAGATAAATTAGAGCTATGCCAGTGAGCAGGGATACCTGCCCATAAAGTATTGAGAAGGAGAAGCAGGAGATGGCGGGGGGGGGGGGGGGGGGGGGGGGGGTGGGGGGGAAGTATCTTTCCTGGTGCATATTTTGTAGAATTTACACTTCCTGAATATTCATAAGGAGCTGCAGTGGGATAATGGTTAGAGTGTTCAGCTGTTGCCCAGAAGCCCAGCTGTTTGAACCCACCAGCTGCTCCACTGGAAAAAGATGAAGCGGTTGGTCCCCACAAAGACGTACAGCCTTGGAAACACGTGGTCTACCCTGGCCTGTAAAACTGCTCTGAACCAGAGTCTGCTTGCTGGCAGTGGTCTTGGCATACGCGTATGCTGTTCTTATGTGCTGCCGAAGGAGTCCGCCTCCTAGTGAGAGATAAGACAGAATAGATACCCCCATAGAGTCCCCTAGGCTGTAATCATCTCAGGAGCAGATCAACTTCTTCTTCTTCTTTTTTTTTTCCTGAAGAAGGAAACCTGGTATCACAGTGACTAAGTGCTGGGCTACTAACCTAAAGGTCATTTGTTCAAATCCATTAGCTGCTCTGAGGGGGAAGGATGTGGCAATTGTGTATCCCTGCAAACCCTATAGGGCAGCTGTTCTCTGTCCTGTATTATCACAGTTGTGACAACAGTGGGGCTTTGTCTTTTGTTGTTCTCTCAGAGTAGTGGGTGGGTTCGAACTGCTGACTTTTCAGTTAGCAGCCCAATGTTTAGAACCATTGTGCCCTCAAAACTCCCTTGCTTATGTGCATATGTGTATACATAAGCATGTATTTGTATATAGTTATAAGATTCCAGAGAAAAATATGCACACACATGCACAGTATATCAGCAGACTAAATTGTTAGCATGGAGGAGGGTGAGATGATGGGACTATAGCCAATGGGAGACATTATTGAGGTGTCATTATTTGGGCCTTGTGAGCTGAGCTGGGACACTTCAAAGCATTGCTATAATGGGAAAAATGTGTTCTCCAAAACCGAACCATACGGGAGCTCTGGTGGCCTAGTGGCAAGAAGCTGTACTGCAATTCCAAAAGCACACAATTTGAATCCACCAGATGCTCCGCTGGAGAAGGAGTGGCAATCTCCTCCTGTGCCAGTCGGATCCGATTCAACAGTACATAACAATAAGACAAAAACAAAAACCAAACCATAGAGTTCTGTGTTAATGGAAGTGGGAAGATTGAATCAAACACTGATTGATAATTCAAATGATACTTACACTTTGTTTAAGGGTGCAGTTTCTCTCCAGAACGCTCAGATTATCAATTATATTTTTTGAGAAATAGCTTGCACTTCTTCAGCAGAGTCTGGTAGGCAGCAGGCCAGGAAGGTGGGCGGCACATGCATGCCACACACAGGTATGTGCACACACACAGAATCCATGCATATGTATGTGCACATGCACAGATAGTGTGTGTGCACGCACAAGCAGGTCCGTGCACTCACATGCAAGGATACACACTGTCTGTCACACAAATTTATGTACTACACACAGTCCACAGAGTGGAGCCTGCACTGGTGCCAGAGTTTCTGTGGGATTGCTGTAACCACTTTTTGAGCCAGAGGAGATGCGAAAGTGGTTTTTCCCATTTACCATATCTCTGGGGAGATGAGAGTGATACATAGAGAAGTGAAATGACATGGCCTCAATCAGACAACTTTTCAGAAACTGAGTTGGAGGCCTGGCGTTCATGGTCTCTTGGACTCTGGCCCCAGTGTGTTGCGTAGATCCAGCCTATACATCCTGGAGACTAGCCTCACACGCTCTGAGCGTTTCAGGCAGAAACAGCTTAGAGTGAGAAAGGATCCTACTGAATTTAGATGAATGTGAGGATTTAGTGCTGGGCGGACAGCTGGTAGTATGTTTTAAACATAGATAGTGCAGAGAAATTGAGGACAGGCGTGGTTTTTGGTCCTTGATGTAAGTTGGTAGAATTAACTCTCAGCTGGAGCACAGAGTGCAAAGCCTGCCTGTGTGCTCCAGATTTGAGGTGACATTAAAATCCTTCCTGATTTATAGTTAAAAAACCATAATTGTGAATTGGTATGTTGGGGGGATTTTGGTGCATAGAAAGTACACATGAAAAAAAATCTCAGCTGCATTCACAGGCGTACTTTATTACATAAAGGTAAATATTACTCAGATGGCATCAACACGTTCCTGCGTTGAGTTATGACTTCAATTATTCTTTCCCAACTTCTCTGAGAACTGTGTGACTCAGAGGACTGACCTGGATTCTAGTTTGTATTCGGGCAAAACCTGGTTTCTTACTGACGATTTTATTTTGATGTTTCTTGATGTCTCATTTCATACCATGAGGTCTTTCTTAGGCTATTGCCTTGCCTTTTGTGAAACACATACTCAAGGATATGTATTGGTTGTCACCAATGTCTATACTGGGACCTCGGGATTCAGAGAGGGACAAGACAGGAGTTGACAGTGAGCAAGACAGAGATGAGCCCATAAACCATTGCAATAAAAGGAAATTTTAAAATGTTACATACAGGGATGGGAGGGGTGTGCCAGCAAAAGTTTCTGAGTGAATGAAACTTTTCTTATTGGGGCTTTGAAGGATGTGTTTGTTGGCGTTCCTAACAAGCTAGGAACGCAGTGGGGGATAGGGGTAGAAGAGCATCGCAGCAGTGACGTTCTTAGCCCAGGAATGTCTAAGATCAGGGTATTCTGAGGAAGGACAGGTGTGCCAGGCAGACAGAGGTGTGGTGGAAGGGGTGGGGAACCCAGAAATGAGTTTCAAGAATTAGGCAGGGTGATATCTAAGGAAGGGAGGGATACAGCTGTGCATCTTACAAGACTAACTATGGTAGCAAACTAGGTTCTTCCGGGAGCAGAGAGCCTGGGGTGGGAATAGTGAGTCCTTCACTGACAGAAGGAGAGGCTAATTTCTGTGTTCATGCTTTTAATTGATGTTAGGAAAAACACACACTCAGTTAAAAGAAAAACTTTGAGGTCTTGCATGTAGAGGGAGTGGCCACATTTAGAAACTGAATGGTCTACCAGAGCTCATGTGTTAGCAGGAATATTAAATACTTGTTTTAGAATGCTTTGAAATGTAAGTACTTTAGAAAAATATACTTTAAAAACCAGAAATGACTTCTTGGAATGGGTCTATTTTCTAGATTTATGATAGTGTTTATTTTTACAGGTGATACTCTCTGGGATCATAGGACTGACAACTTGGAAAAGACCTATGATACTGCTGGTATGTACTGAGCTTGTACACCGTTAGCCTTTGTAATGGGCTGTGTGTGAACTCTGTTTATATAAAACATTGAAAGAGCACTCAAGCTTCTTTGTTCAAGAAAACCCAAGTTATCAGTGGGTGATATTAGAAGCCAGATGTCATAGCTATGTGATACTGTTATATCGCATAACAATAAAGTGAGTTGATAATTTTTCTGATTTTCAGAATCACTTATGTATCTCAGGGACCCAGAACTATATATGTGTTTCCCAGAGTTAGACCCATTCTGAAGATATAATTAAAAACAAAATGAGCAACTATATATGATGGGAAAAATGTAATTTTGTATGTAAATTAAAAATGTATTTAAAAAATTTTATTAAATAATTAAATGTATACAGAAGTAGAAGGAGTCACTCCATTTACTTTGGCACCCAACAATTATTAGCTCATAGCTGGTCTTGTTCAGCTACACTCTTCCCTACCCCCTCATCCTCTGTCTTATTTTTTCAAATCTCCATTCTTTTTTTTTCCCCTGTTGAAGCAAATCTTGGATGTTATGTAATTTCTTAATATATGACTTCTGACTGTTGTAATGCTTTGCTTGGTCAATGCCAGAATTTTATTACTAGGATTAACTATATTGTCTCTTTCACCTATGAACTGTGTTTTCTTGATAATATAGACATGATCGTGACGTCATCCTTTGGTTTTATTGCCATGCCTTTTTTATTCAGAGAATCCTAGCAAAAGTAGGAAATTAGCAATGAAACTGCTTGCTTGAAGGATAAAGCAGAGGTCTAGGAAATTCAATTTATTATAATTGTTTGAGTTGGGGTATACTTATATTTTCCCCTGTATTACGTTTTCAAGACCTTGATTTCTCTCTCACCTGTCTTGAAGTGGGATTAAGTAATTTGTCTAAAGCAGTTTTACATATGAACTTGGAAGGTCACCTTAAACAGACTACTGTTTTCTTGACACTGTGCTCTGTACTTAGATGCTTGAACCCAAGGAGAAGCAACACATTACAGGGACATGGATCCTAATCCTATCTTGATTGATCTTGAAAAATGAGAAAGTGAAAACAACTATGAGATATCATCTCATCCCAGTAAGAATAGCAAAATTTAGCAGAATAGCAAACAACAAATGCTGGTGAGGTTGTGGAGAAACTGGAACCCTTATTCACTGTTGTTGGGAGTGTAAAATGGTGCAACCCCTAGGGAAGGCAATATGGTGCTTCTCAAAAAGTTACAAATAGAAATAACATTTGACCCAGTAAAGAAACCATAACCTCCACCCAAGCAGATATATGCTCACCCATGTTTGTCACGACTTTGTTCACAATAGCAAAGGGTTGGAAACAACCTAAGTGCCCATCAACAAACAAATGGATAGAGATGTTGTTGTTGTTGTTATGTGCCGTCGAGTTGCCTGCGACTCATAGCGACCCTGTGTACAACAGCCCTAAACTCCGCTCTGTCCTGTGCCAATCGCACTGTCTCTGACACTCCCATCCCAATTATCCCAGTCACTGAATCAATCCACTTCATAGAGGGCCTTCCTCTCCTGCGCTGTTCCTCCACCCTCCCAAGCATGATGTCCCTCTCCAAGGACCGGTCTCTCCTCACAACATGTCCAAAGTATGTTAGACGGAGCCTCAGAATCCTTGCCTCCAAGGAGCCACCTGGTTTAACCCTTTCCAGGACAAATCTGTTTGTTTTCCTAGCAGTCCATGGTATTCTCAATACTCTTCTCCAGCACCACAGCTCAAAATAAAAGTAATAATATTGGAAAATAGTTTGTGAATAGCTGTAATGATTTTTAACTTTGTGTAGAGTCCTGGTAGCCTAATGGTAAGGAACTACGCTGCCAACCTGAAGGCACACAGTTCGAATCTACCAGCTGCTCCACAGGAGAAAGGTGGGCCATCTCTTCTTCCTGTGCCGTTTACAAGCTGGAGATCAGGTGTGGGTTTGTTCTGAGTTGACAGGCCATAACAACTGCTAGTGGCTTAGTCTATAGGACGTTATGCTGCTAATCAAAGGCAGTGTTTTGCTTGTGGTTTGAATCCAGTAATAACTCTGCAGATTAAGGAGGAACAGGCTTCTCCAACATGATTCACAGCCTTAGAAAACCCTCTGTAGTGTCAGCTGGAGTCTGTTCTGATTCAATGGCAATTGAGTGAATGAGGGTCATTTTGGCTATGACTACTTTATGTGTGTATTTGTGTGTGTATGTAGTATTCTAGATTGTATATTTATCCTAACGGACATTTTCTACTTTTACAGGTTGTTCTTATTTTTCAAGACAGCATCATTTCCATTCTAATAGCAAACTTTAGAAATGTTTGGAGATCATAGACTCAGTGCTGGACATAACCTGTAACGTTGTGTTTCTGGACTCCTTAATTGTCTTAATAAGATGCTTTTCACTGATGGTGTGTTTGCTAAGAATGTTGTTGTTAGCTGCAATTGTATCAGTCCACTGCATCTCATACATTCTGGAGCCAAACCCAGCCATCCCCATAATGGGTTGAGGATCAAACTGTGACCCATCAAGTTTTCACTGGTTGAGTTTTGGAAGTAGATCTTCAAGCCTTTCTTTCTAGTCTATTCCAGTCTGGAAGATCTGTGGAAACTTGCTCAGTGTCCTAGCACCACACAAACCTCCACTGGCAGATGGGTGGTGGCTTGACACGACGAGAACTGTCCGAGTCTGGAGCATGGATCTCCCTCCTGGAAGGAGAGCTCTCTATCAGGCAGCCACACGGAAAGCCAGACTCCCTGCCTGTAATTTTGGTTGTTTATGAAGTGGCAACTTGAGCTATCATTACTTATTTTTGTTTTTTGCTCAAGTGAGAGGTGCATGACTGCAAAACTGGTAAAAGGACAACATTGTTCTCTATTTAACAAAATAAACATTTTGTTGAAAATATGCAAAATAGAACATAAACCTCTTGATTTTTATGTTCATGGAAAAATTATGTTGTAGTTTACGTGCATGGAAATTACATTGACAAGAGAGACTTCATTATCATTTACATGGATGGAAATTTCATTGACAGTGTTCCCATTTGTCGTATTGTGCCAGCATTGTTTTCATCCCCTTGACGTCAATTTTCTGTTCATTAAGTTTCTTGTCTATGTTTTTTTACTGTTACTGTTGTCCATTTAATCTCACTTAGATAATTTCTTAAGAGGACAGTAGTACCCAAGACAAATGCTCTTTATGATATGAGCTTAATTGTTAAAAAAAATTAGTTCATTGGATAGTTTGGTTTAAAAGCTTAAAAATTGTTTTCAACAGTAGACGTTCCTGTGGTTGCAATATATCCAGTACAGCTGGTTTTCAGTAAGAATTTGAAGTCTGTTGCACATATTTTTCTCTTTCTAGTTTTGGTCAAGAACAAACTATTTGGTCTTTGACCAGAGTGTTCGGTAATGACAGCTGGGCACCATCTATTTCTTCTAATGTCAGAAATGCGTTTAGAATCAGAAAGAAAATTCTTTGCCCAGTCATATTCTTGGGTGGCATATGTGGTTAATTCTCAACTCCAAATCCTGTTAGCTAGCACTGAACCTGGAAGAGAACAGGTTAAAATGGGTTGTTGTTGTTGTTGTTATGTGCCATCGAGTCACTTGCGTCTCATAGCGACCCTATGTACAACAGCCCTAAACTCTGCTCTGTCCTGTGCCAGTCGCACTGTCTCCGACACTCCCATCCCGATTATCCCAGTCACTGAATCAATCCACCTCATAGAGGGCCTTCCCCTCCTGCTCCGCCCTCCACCCTCCCAAGCATGATGTCCTTCTCCAAGAACCGCTATTTTAAAAATGACCAACCAGTTTTTCTTTTAATTTCAAGGTTCTAACACTTAGGATAGGAAAGGGGCCTTGGAGCCTAGTGCATAAGGAGTTATGCTACCAGCCCAAAGACAAGTAGTTAAAATGCACCAGCAGCTATGTGAGAGGAAGGGATACTTTCCTCCTGAGCAGTGTACACCCACTAGGGTCAGTTATGAGTTGATTATGATTAAATGTCAACAAACAACAAGAATGTTATATTTAAGATAGAATTTGTTACTCAAAGAGGTTAAAGAATAACTTAAGTAAGATATATATCCATTCTTATAAAAACATTTAGTTTCCAAAGACTAGGTTGTTTTGTGAAAATTGATATTGTTATGCAACAATGAAGGGTGACTACATCATTTTATAACTGTCAAATCACTGAGAATGAAGATACCTTCAACTGTAGCGAGCATTACTCTCGCCTCACATCTCCACATCTGTTATTTCCAGATGTGCATCATCAGTGCACAGAATAGTTGCATGGTAGACTTTTAAATGATTGTTGTAAATACAGTATGCTGGATAATAGATAATAGGTGAGTAATTTGTTGTTGTTATCGTTAGCTGCCATCAAGTTGTATCAGTTCTGTCTCAATTCTGTACATAGCGGCCCATGTACAGCTGATACCTTGCCTGCTCCTGTACCATCCTCACAATCTCTGTACTTAAGCCCACTATTGTGTCACTTTGTCAGTCCATCTCATTGAAGACCTTCTTCTCCTTTGCTGACCCTTAGCTTTTTAAAGCATGCAATCATTTTCCAAGGAGTGGCCCCTCCTGACAACAGGGCTCAAAGTATGTGCCATGGTCTCACTATTCTTGCCCCCAAGGAGCAGCCCACCTGTACTTCCTCCAAGACGGATTTATTTGTTCTTTTGGCAGCCCACGGGATATTCAGTACTCTTTTTCCAACACCACAACTCAAATATCTTGTTACTCCCTCCTATAACAGCACAAGCAAACCCAGCCAACAGGATTTTTCCAGTCCACAAAGCCACATGGTGATCCAGGCTCTTTCCATCTTTGGAGTGTTGATGAAACACCCATCACTTTGTCAAAAGAGGGTAAAGAATTACCCTAACCAGAAATGGTTGTAAGTGGTTTATGTTGTAAGCGGGATGTTTTTACCTTCTTATGATGATAGTGGTATTTCCATTCTGA